GGACTCCCAAAGCTGTAAAAGTTTGTGGAAGCCAACTGCCGCATCTTGCTCCCACGGAGCAGCTGGTGGGCTGAAGCTGTGGACTTTAACCACTGCACCCAGAGGATTCCTTTTGGCATCATTACCCACTGCCATCAAGTCAATACCAACTCATAGTGACCTTCTATAGGTTTCCCAAGCTGTAAATCTTTACCGGAGCTATGGCCTCCACTTTCTCCTGTGTGGTGGCTGGTGGATTTGAACCGTAGACCCTGCATAGTTCATCTTAAACTCATCAAGACTGTCAGATACAATCATCTTTAAACATAATACTAGTTTCGACTTGTGGAGCACCTTCAAAGCAACCTTTCACTTAGCACAGTAACCAGCACCACAACAGCATATACTCAATAAACATTTGTTGTATAAATGGATAAAGAGACTGCTGCAGGTAAATGTTCACTCTACAAATGACAAAACTGACCTTGAAGGAACTCTGTCCAGCCTACTAAAATCATATTCACACCACGCATTCGATAAGATACAGTTTTTTAACTGTTAAATTTCTAATCTTCCTCATTCTGTCCATTTTAGGCAGAATCAGTTTAGTTATTGATTCTGTGTATTTGGACCATTTATTCAAAGAAACAATGTACTCTTGCATTAATAGAATTCAACCATTTAATATTTATTAGGTGACAGGAATTGCTGTCGGAGGGAAAAAAGACCCAAATAACTATAGTACCATAATAGTGGTACTAAGCGTTCAACCATCTGCATATCGAGGGTTGATAACCCTTCCTCCAATCCTGATAATCTACTGCATTCTTCATATAATTGAAGTTGTCGAGGATTTCATCTTGTTTGGATCCACAATCAATTCTCATGGAAGCAGCAGTCCAGAGATCAAACAATGCATTGCATTAGGCAAATCTGTTGTACAAGACTTCTTTAAAGTGTCGAAAAGCAAGGATGTTTTTTTGAGGACTAAGGTACACCTGACCCAGACCATGGCGTTTTCAATTGGCTCATATGCATGTAAAAGTTGGACATTGAGTAAGGAAAACCAAAGAAAAAGCCACCATGATGTTGGCGAAGAATATCGGAAGTACCGTAGACTGCCAAAAGAACAAACAGATCTGTCTTGGAAGAAGAGCAGTCAGAATCCTCCTTAGAAGCAAGGATGGTGAGCCTTCATCGCATGTACTTTGGGCATGTTATCAGGAGGATACCAGTCCCAGAGAAGGACATCATGGTTTGCAAGGTGAAGGGGCAGAGCAAGAGAGAAAGACCCTGGATAAAACGGATGGACACAGTGGCTGCAACAGTGGGCTCAAACATAAGAACAATGGTGAGAATCGTGCAGGACCGGGCAGTGTTTTCCTTCTGGTCGTCAGGAGTCAGAACTGGCTTCGGTGACACCTCACAGCAACAACAAGCATTCTATGTGCTATGGAAACACAAAAAGAAGTAATTCCTGCTAATAAATAAGGGAACACAAGTGCACTGCAAAGAAGTTGCTGCTGTCGGGAGGTGCTGTCTGTGGACCATGTGTACAACAGAACGAAACCCTGCCCAGGCCTGAGCCATCCTCAGAATTATTGTTATGTTTGAGCCCATTACTGCAACCACGGTGTCAATCCACCTCCCAGAGGTTTGTGAAGCCTATTGTGGGGGAACAGAAGGATTTCTCTTAAGTTGTCTCCCCAAAATATATGCCAGACTTAGCTTGAGAATAATTGTTCACTAGGCAGCGAAAGTGGGTCAGAGGTTATTCTCCCCAACATCGGCCATCTAGAGCGGCCAGACTGCAGGTCTGACTCACCCCAAATAGGGCCCATGCCTTTCTGTTATTGTTCCCTTGAAACAGTGGCCATAGGCAAGCCCGAGACCACTCTAAGATGACTAAGCTTAGATTACTATCTTGCCACACATGCCCCCCTATTCTCTCCTCTTACTATTGCACATTCACCCCTAGGTCATCCCCCTCCTATTGCTTGTATTGCCTATGTTACAATCCCTCTCTATGACATAGGTTGTTATCTGCTATCAGGGGGTTTGCATGCCTCCCAGGATAGTAATTGCCTGCTTTATTGTATGAGACACCAAACTGATCAAACCTGTTCAAGGATGAATTGTATTGCCCCTCTCTGTGATGCATGATGCTGTGATGTATCCCCCTAAAGTAACATGATGCGTGGTTAGCAATAAATAAGGAGAGCTACTTCTCAAGAGAGGTGGCTCCCAAGAGGTGGTTGGCCGAGGGTGGCTGGCAGAGGGCGGCTGAGGAAGGAGGGATGCTTCCTGTGAGGGCTGCTCCCATGAGGGCGGTGGACAAGAGGGCAGCTCCCACGAGGGAGGCGGCTCCTGCTCTGGCAGCCAGGTTCCCCCCACGAGGACCACCAAGCGGGGCGGAGGTGAGCAATGTTACCATGTAATATGTCTGACTGTATTATTGTATT